AAATGGTTTACATTGGTCCATTATTTCACCTAGCCCCCATACAACTGAACCCCTCGAATAGGGCTTTTCAACTTTGTAATCACACTACAGGTCGAAATTTTGGAGATAATTCAATGAAATTTGTCACATGCTCGTTTATGGTACCGTAGACAAAGTCTATTGAAAATAGTTAACATCGGTCCATTATTTCACCTAGCCTCCATACGACTGAACCCCCCAAATAGGGCTTTTAAACTTTGTAATCAAACTACAGGTCGCAATTTTGGAGATAATTCAATGAAATTTGGCACATGATCTTTTATGGTATCGTAGACGAAGCTTATTGAAAATGGTTACCATCGGTCCATTATTTCACCTAGCCCCCATACAACTGAACCCCCGAATAGGGCTTTTAAAACTTTTAATCAAACTACAGGTCGCAATTTTGGAGATAATTCAATGAAATTTGGCACAAATGGCACGACAAAAAGCTGCAATAACCAAGTTGTATACTAGACTTGATGACCCCCACGAATTCCATAATAATAGGTTCTCATATGACCCTAGCCCCTATGAAAAGCCCCCATCAAAATTTCACTTAAATATCCAAAATTTTATTCAACAATAAAGGACTTAACAAATAACGGTAATTATGGAGATAATTCAATGAAATTTGGCACAAATGGCACGACAAAAAGCTGCAATAACCAAGTTGTATACTAGACTTGATGACCCCCACGAATTCCATAATAATAGGTTCTCATATGACCCTAGCCGCTATGAAAAGCACCCATCAAAATTTCACTTAAATGTCCACAATTTTATTCAACAATAAACGGCTTAAGTATGTATATCTAAGGCAAGGTACAATTCAACTTAAATGCTTTATTATGGCAAATAAATCACATTATATTTTTGACAAAGGTGTAGGGTATTATACGGTCGGCCACGCCCGACTATAATTTCTTACTTGTTTTTTTATATTAATGAAATAATGTAAATCAGACGACTAGATCTATAGTTATAATCTTTTAAACTGTTAAAAATCATTTCTGGCCATGTTTTATTAATCAAATTTAAACATAAACATTAAGTTTTTCAAATTAAAATATTTTTTTTATTTATAATGAAAAACCGGTTAACCGTTTTTTTCTGAATTTGAAAAATATCAACCGGTTTTTTTTAAATGTCAACTATTCGAACTATTCGAAAACCGGTTTTTGGAAAATGTCGAATAATCGATCACCGTACTAACTAACTAACTAACTAACTAACTAACTAACTAACTAACTAACTAACTAACTAACTAACTAACTAACTAACTAACTAACTAACTAACTAACTAACTAACTAACTAACTAACTAACTAACTAACTAACTAACTAACTAACTAACTAACTAACTAACTAACTAACTAACTACTAACTAACTAACTAACTAACTAACTAACTAACTAACTAACTAACTAACTAACTAACTAACTAACTAACTAACTAACTAACTAACTAACTAACTAACTAACTAACTAACTAACTAACTAACCAACTAACTAACTAATTAACTAACTAACTGACTAAATAAATGAGTCTATGGTCTAGTCTATACTCTAGTCTATAGTGTAGTCTACAGTCTGGTCTATAGTCTAGTCTATAGTGTAGTCTACAGTCGAGGCTATAGTCTAATCTATATTCTAGTCTATAGTCGAGGCTATAGTCTAGTCTATAGTCTAGTCTATAGTCTAGTCTATAGTCTAGTTTATAGTGTAGTCTATAGTCTAGCCTAGTCTATAGTCCAGTTTATAGTCCAGACTATAGTCAAGTAAACATTACAGACTATAGTCTAATCGATAGTCTAGAATATTGTCTAGTCTACAGTCCAGACTGTGGTCTAGTCTAGTCTATAGTCCACACTATAGTCTAGTTTATTTTCAATTTAAACTTATTAAGTATATAGTCCATCAAATTAACAAAATCTTCTACAAGGAAAACTTTTTTGCCAGCCCTGCCATTTACGTTGATTCCCCTCCAAGAAGTGTTGGCAGCACTTCAATCAATTGTTTAATTCAAACAATACAACTTTTCTATTTGCATTTTTACATTTATTTTCAATATTATTGTTATTGTTGCTATTTAATGATTTCCGTTTTGAAAAAATAAACAGCAACAAAACAGAAAAACCCCTCAATAATTATAAATTTAAAACTGTAGTTTAAGCCTATAGAGGGAATAATAAAACAAGTGGAAACAAGTAATTAAAAATGCATTTACACCTACAAATTGCGAGCATAAGACGAAAATAAAATAAGAAATAAAGAACAAATTTACCTAAAAAAGGAATTTAAATTTAGCATAAGAATTTTTGCAAGGCAAAAATTACCATAATAAAGGTAGCCAGACAAATAAAAATTGTTAATATAAGGCAACACTACAGTTTAAGCTTTTTGCATTCTAGCATGACATACACTTAACCAAATTATGAAGACTTTTAAGTAAATGTTCTAAAACAAAAATGTTATTAAATTTTGTGTATAATTTCTTTATGGTCATAGACATAATAATAAAGGGAAATGCCTAATAATTGTTAGACTTAATAAGGAAAAGGCATATAAGCAAAAAAAAGCTTATCTATGAAGAAAAATTATATAAACATTTTTCAAACATGTAAATGAATATTTTCTTCATTTCATGGCTAAATTAAACCAAACAATGTTTATAATTAAAAATTTATATGTATTGTTGTTTTTTTACGTTTTTTATTATTATTACTCTAGCCAATCATTATTTATTTTATATCTTTTACTTCTTTCTACACTTCTTCCACATTTATTTAGCTGGGTTTTGTTAATTTAACTCAATATTAATGTTGTTAACTTCACTCTGTATGCTTTATTTAACAGTTAACGGTTAATTTTTAGCTGTGCAAGTGTGTAGTTTTTTTTCGAATTTAAAGTTGTAATACGAAATTGTTATTTGGCATACATATTGTTTTTTCATTTCCGAAACATTTGTTAGTGTTTTTATACCCTACACCACTTTAGTGGGGAGGGTATATTGGATTTGTGCTGATGTTTGTAACATATAAAAATATTCGTCATAGACCCACCTTAAAGTATACCAATCGGCTTAGAATCGTTTTCTGAGTCGATTAAGCTATGTCCGTCCGTCCGTCCGTCCGTCCGTCCGTCTGGCTGGCTGGCTGGCTGTCCATGTAAACCTTGTGCGCAAGCTACAGGTCGCAATTTTCAAGATAAGTGGATGAAATTTGGCAAGGACGTTTTATTTGACCCAAGGACGAATCCTATTGAAAATGGTTAAAATCGGTCCATTATTTCACCTAGCCCCCATAGAACAGAACCCCCCGAAAAGGGCTTCTGAGCTCATAATTATGTTAAATATACAGATATATCGATAAAATACGGCATAACTAAGTTTTATAGAAGTCTTGATAACCCTGCCAAATTTCATAAAGATCGGGCCCCATTTGACCCTAGCTCCCATACAAAGTCCCCTTCAGAAAATTACTTGAATGTCCCAAATTAACTTATAAACACAAATATCGCGATGAAATTCAGCACAATAAAATATTATGTAAATATAAATATATTCACAAAATTTTATCGGGCTTGGTCCATATTTGCCCCTAGCCCCCATATAAAGCCTCTTTCAGAAAATTAGTTTTTCATCCATAAATTGCTTAAATGTATCGGAACAAGGGAATATTGAAGATAAATGCGATATTATGAAAAATAAATCACATTTAATATTCATAACTGGTGTAGGGTATCATATGGTCGGCCACGCCCGACTATACTTTCTTACTTGTTTTTTTTTTTTTTCATTCCAAACAAATCGATTTCAATTACATTTTAATTGTGTTATTAGCACAATTATTATTACTTTTTATTAACATTTGATGTTTGCATTTCAATGAACTGTACAACACATGTGTATGTATGTATATTGTTTGTTTTAGGAACTTTGTAATAGAAAATAGATGGTACCCACTTGAGACTGTCTAATGTGTCTGCATAAATTTGGAGTTATAACAGATTTTCTTTGTCTGGCTTTGTGTATTAACTTTGCTGGATATGGAAGAAGTACAGTGTGTACTGATATATAGCCTACATTATGGGCAAATCATAGGTAGATCTCGTCTATAGACTGATCTATAGTCTCGACTAAAGACTGATCTATGTGTCGATTACAGACTGATCCATAGTATCGACTATAGACTGATATGTAATATCGACTAAAGACTGATCCACTGTCTCGACTAAAGTCTGATCTATAGTCGCGATTATAGACTGACTTATAGTTTCGAGAGATCTTCAGTCTCGACTATAGACTAATTTAAAGTCCCGACTGTAGACTGATATACAACATCGACTAGAGACAGATCTATAGTCTCGACCAGAGATTGATCTATAGTCTCTTGACTATAGAATGATCTATAGTCTCTACTACAGACTGATCTATAATCGCGACTATAGAATGATCTATAATCTCGACTATAGAATGATCTATAGTCTCGACTATAGAATGATCTATAGTCTTTATAAAATGATCTATAGTCTATACTACAGACTGATCTATAATCTCGATTATAGAATGATCTATAATCTCGACTATAGAATGATCTATAGGCTCGACTATAGAATGATCTATATTCTCCTCTAGAGACTGATCTATAATCTCGACTATAGAATGATCTATAATCTCGACTATAGAATGATCTATAGTCTCGACTAGAGACTGATCTATAACCTCGACTATTGAATGACCTATAGTCTCGACTGTAGAATGATCTATATTCTCGACTATAGAATGATCTATAATCTCGACAATAGAATGATCTCTAGTTTCGACAATGACTATAGACTGATCTATAGTCTCGACTACAGACTGATCTATAGTCTGGAATATAGACTTTTCCATGGTCTGGAATATAGTCTCATCCATAGTCGGGACTTTATCCTAATATGTAGTCTATGTTATAGAATAATCTCTAGTCTGGACTATATACGGACCTGTAATCTAGACTATAGACTGATCTATAGTCTAGATAAAAAATTCATGATACGAAATTTAAAAATATTTTATTTTTTACCTTCATTCAGCGACATATCATTTATAGAATTATCGAAATGTATGCGTGGCAGGGTTTTCGATTTGTACTCACCTAAAATGATAAAAGAAATAGAAAGAATAACAATTAATCTTTGTTACTGCAACAAAAAAAAAGTTATATGTAATTACAAATAACCTAAATATTTAACTTAATTGAAAATGCAACACTAGCAATAATATCAATTGAAAACAATAACCTTGACAGACTTATAGTTTCTTTTTTTCTGTCTTACAAAAAAAACTAAATTAAACTACAAACAATTAAACTGAAACTTTAAACAATTTATAACACAATGCACAATTTTCTGAAATATAAATTGAGACGTCATTTATTTAAATTTAACTGACTTGAAGACAAAATACACAAATCTATAAGATAAGCAAAATTTATAGTAGAATATTTTAAAATTTAAACAAATTCAACACTTCATTTATTACGTTGAACATAAGTTTGAGACAAATTTAATGACACAACTATTTGCATGATGACACCACTCCGCCATTATTTGTCATGTGATAAAAAGGGGCATAGAACCACAAGTTGCAATATAAAATTTTCAAAAAATTTTTTTAAACAATTTTTGGAGAGATATTAGATTGACCTATAGAATTGACTATGGAATGATCTATAATCAGGACTATAGGCTGATCTATGATGCTATACATATACTGATCTATAGCCCGGACTATGAAATGATCTATAATAGTCTGGACTACAGACCGATCTATAATAGTCTGAACTATAGACTGATCTATAATCTCGACTATAGACTGATCTATAATCGGGACTATAGACTGATCTATAGTCCGTACTATAGACTGATCTATAGTCTGGACTATAGACTGATCTATAGTCTGGACTATAGACTGATCTATAGTCTGCACTATAGACTGATCTATAGTCTGGACTATAGACTGATCTATAGTCTGGACTATAGACTGATCTATATATAGTGTGGACTATAGACAAATCTATAGTCTGGGCAATAGTCTGATCTATAGTCTGGACAATAGACTGATCTATAGACTTATCTATAGTCTGGACTATAGACTTATCTATAGTCTGGACTATAGACTGATCTATAGCCTGGACTATAGACTGATCTATAGCCTCGACTATAGACTAATCTATAGTCATGTCTATAGACTAATCTATAGTCTTGACTATAGACTAATCTATAGTCTTGACTATAGACTAATCTATAGTCTGGACTATAGACTGATCTATAGTCTGGACTATGGACTGATCTATAGTCTGGACTATAGACTGATCTATAGTCTGGACTATAGACTGATCTATAGTCTGGACTATAGACTGATCTATAGTCTGGACTATAGACTGATCTATAGTCTGGACTATAGACTGATCTATAGTCTGGACTATAGACTGATCTATAGTGTGGACTATAGACTGATCTATAGTCTGGACTACAGACAAATCTATAGTCTGGGTAATAGACTGATCTATAGTCTGGACTAAAGACGTGCAGTAGTACACCACAAAGTATTTGTAAAACAAATACACCATGGTGAGTACCTAATACTATAAGTATAAATGAGAGAATGAGTGTAACTGATATTGTATGCTTTTGCTTGTGCTCATCCACTCTATCCACAAAAACAATACCAGTTGCTTATGGTTTTGAGTTGAATACTGTATTGTATTCAGTGTTGCCAACATTGGTCAAGCAAAACGCGCGCAAAAATATTAAAAAGGGGTAAAAAAGCGTAATTTTCTAACTGAAAACGGGTAAAAAAGCACTAACGTTTTTTTAGTCAAATATTGTTTATTTTAATAAAAATTGCACATTATTTCGCTCATTTCCTACAAGACTCCAAAATTCGTTTTTTAGAATATTGGGCTACAAAACAAATCATGCGTCATACTAAAGTCTTTCATCTGTGTGAGTTAGATTTTTAGTAACGTAAGAACTAAAACTAATGTTTGACGAATATTAGATAAATAAGATGAGAATTTTTCAAATTCCTTAATTTGTTTAAAAGTTATTTTAAAAATAGTAAAATGTCATTAAACATTCAAACTGACAGGCACACTACTAACTGGCCAACCGATGTACCCACACCCAAATTGTAAAATTGTACAAAACTTATGAAATATATTTTTTTTTGTAAAATCTATATACAGGCAAATCCCGGTAAAACGAATCTCACTTTAACGAAAATCCGATATAACGAACAGCCAAATTTTTAACATTAACTACCTTATATAGCGAACGTTTAAGAAATTTTATACTCAATATAACGAATAAAAAGAAAAAATACCTAAAAAATCCAGCTTTTGATTTTATATTTATATTGTTAATATCAAAAACTTGATTGAGCAATTAGAATATAATGTAAAAATAAAAGAAGTCGCCCATATTCCTAATTTTAGTTATACTACATATCTGACCTATCGATCAAAATTCCTTACATTATAATCTAAAAAGCATAAATCTGTTAGATGTGAATTTAATGGTAAATTTAGCTTGAATAGTGTTTAAAAGGGATACATTGAAATAATAAAATTTTACAGCAAAATAAATTATTTCGATACCCCAATATGGCGCAATATTCCAGGGTTTTGAAATTATCAGCATGAGACACAGTTATCGATTCTCAAGTTCAGTTTTTCCTCAAAAGAGTTTAATTCTATCTTCTAGATAATAAAATAAGGTTAAGGAAATAGCAGGAAATTAAAGTTGTTAGAAAACTAAAATCCTTCACAAATTTTTCAATCCGTTCAGATGTTCAAAATGGAAAAAGGTGTGCGTTGATATTAGTTGTTTGAAATAAAATTTGAAGTAATAATTTCATACATTAATTTGAATGGTTTTTTTGTCCATTAAATAAAGAAATTTACTAGAAAAAATAATTCCGATATAACGAATATTTCGATTTAACGAAAGGGCCTGACATTATATCATTCGTTATACCGGGATTTGCCTGTATATTATTTTTAATTTCACTGATAGTGAATAACATAACTTATTTTAACGTATTTTGAATATTTTGTTTTTTGTTTTTGAAGAATATTTGCTTTTTAAACTTAACACAAATTAAAAAAAACTTTGGAGCACCCGTGTAAAAAAATTTAAAACAGTTTTTAAGAAAAATTTAGTCCTTAGTGTAAACTATTAAACTGATCGTATTCTAATAAACAACAAAAAGTGGTATAAATAGAAAGATCAAAGAATGATCCCTCAGTGTTCTTAACATTATAGAGAAAATGTTTAATATTAATTAAATAAATTACCTCCTGAAATTCACAAATATTTTAAAATATTTTAACAAATAAGAGCGTTATATTCGGCTGTGCCGAATCTTATATACCCACCATCAAATCTTATGCCGTAAAAGGAATGCTCCTCTGTAAACATCAGGGAGATAAGGCTTAATTCAATTATGTACGTGATCTTCGAATTAACAAAATATTCATTTTTAAAAACAAAATATGTTTGTCCAATTTTTTAACCATGAACATATATCAGAGGTAGTGTCAATTATGAACTGCTTGTCGTAAAATTTGGTAGAAAGATTTCGTATAACATTTATTCCTTTCGAATTTCATTGCTGTTCTCGAATTTTTAATTCAGTCATAAGCGTAAAAGTTATTATCTAAAGAGGAACTTATATGGGGTTGGGACAATTATATATCGATACCCATAACATTTTGTACATAGATTTTGTTTTGTTGGTCAGTTATAGACCAATCGTTATAAAATTCGGAATAAAGAATTATAATAAAAATCTTTTTATTGCGAGTACAACGATGAAGGCTTTATATATGAGGGATAGGTTCAATTGTGTAAAAAAATTGTATAAAACTTATTTTTTGTCAATTTTCATCGCTGTACTCATATTTTTAAGGAGACCTTAATAGGGGGTAGGGTAGGTTAAGTCAGTAATGACCGTTTAAATCATTTTCTGAAGGAGACCTTATATGGGGGGTAGGGTCAATTATAGACCAATTTCTATAAAATTTAGTAGAGATTTTGGCTTATATAAAACTTACTTATGTTGAATTTCATCGCTATACTCGTATGGGGGGGTAGGGTCAATTTTGGACCGATTCCCATAAAATTTGGTACATAGATTTTGACGCATATAAAACTTATTTATGCCAAATTTTATCGCTATACTCGTTTGTTTAAAACAGTTGTGACTGTTAAAGCTTGTGAAATATTTGGGGAAAAATTTAACTCGCTTGCTCTTTCCGTTCTAACCCTATCGTGATTTCAACAGACAGACGGATGGACATGGTTAGATCGCCTTAGAATTTAATAAGGACCCAAAATATATATACTTTTGTGGGTCTACGACCAATATTTCGATGTGTTACAAACGGAGTGACAAAATTAATATACCCCACTCATCTTTTTTAATGGTGGGTATAAAAAGCACTAAATGCACTGTCATAAAATTAGAAAGCACCACTGTAGTGCCTTTTTGAAAAAAGGCACCATGAGCAAAATTTTCCGCGTTTGGCACACCAAAAAGCACCGCAAATAGTGCTAAAAGCACTAAGTTGGCAACACTGATTGTATTTGTTTCTTCCTCTCAAATAACTGTTGTACTACAAATATTTTTGACTATTTGTTGTTACTTATAGTAATACAAAGAATCTATATTGATGCAGTATGTTTATTTATATTAAATAAGATTATTTCAAAACAAAAGAAAAATATGTAATAAATGAATAATAAATTAGTGAATATTTTTATATTTATTTTTAATTTTTTATTTATTTATATTTTTATTTAATATTCTAGTTCAGTTCTAGTTCAGTTTTCAGTTTTTTTATTTAATATTTATTTAAACTGAAATACGATTTCAATTACCAAAACCTCGTTTTCAATTATTTTATTTATTGAAGTTTCATTTTTGATTGATTTCACACAAAATTTTTATTTGTTTCTAATTTTGTTGTTGTTAAATACGTATTTGATTATACATTTTTATGATTCAAACACAAAATGAATTGAACCATTTTAAAATTTTCGATTAATCGTTTAACTGAATTTTTTTAAAATCTGTTTTTTCTGTGATATT